GTATGTATGGTATGTATGGTATGTATGGTATGTATGTAATGTATGTAATGTATGGTATGGTATGGTATGGCATGGCATGGTATGGTATGGTATGGTATGGTTGGGTATGGTATGGTATGGTATGGTTGGGTATGGTATGGTTTGGTATAGTATGGTATGGATGTATGGATGTATGGATGTGTGGATGTATGGATGTATGGATGTATGGATGTATGGATGTATGGATGTATGGATGCATGGATGTATGGATGTATGGATGTATGGATGTATGGATGTATGGGTGTATGGATGTATGGATGTATGGATGTATGGATGTATGGATGGATGGAGGATTGATTGTATGCATGTATGCATGTATGCATGTATGCATGTATGCATGTATGCATGTATGCATGTATGCATGCATGCATGCATGCATGCATGCATGGTGTATGTATGTATGTATGTATGTATGTATGTATGTATGTATGTATGTATGTATGTATGTATGTATGTATGTATGTATGTATGTATGTATGTATGTATGTATGTATGTATGTATGTATGTATGTATGTATGTATGCATGCATGATGCATGTATGATGTATGCATGTATGCATGTATGCATGTATGTATGTATGTGTATGTATGTATGTATGTATGTATGTGTATGTATGTATGTAATGTTAGCTCCTGATTAGTAGCTAGGGTCGCTATTGTGGCAATTTTTCCAAATTATTCTGAAACTCATGTATTGTTTGGAGGGTTCGCTTTTGTGGCAAGAAAAATTGGGAGAGCCCTTTTTTTTGCAAAAAAAACTGTAATTGCTGAGAGGCATTTTTTCTCAAAAACGCTGTAGCTCAGTCAATTTTTTGCTCATCTCCCTATCTGAGCCTGTAAATGCATCTCTATCTGAGTAGGTTTGTTTGCTGGGTTCACTATTGCCGCAAGCTGTGCCAGAGCAGCCCCTGAAGAAGGGAAGCAAGCCATTTCCAAAATTGCCAAATTCAAACTGCAAGCCTTTCCCAAAAGAACCAATCCCTTATTAAACCCTTATTAAAGAACAGCTTTCCCACAATTTTCCAAGGCCCTGGACCAGTAGAGGCCCCATTTCACTTTAGTAGGTTTGTTTGCTGGGTTCACTATTGCAGCAAGCTGTGCCAGAGCAGCCCCTGGAAGCCCAGAAGAGAAGCAAGCCTTTTCCAAAGGCAATTGCCAAATTCAAACCCCAAGCCTTTCCCAAAGGAGCCAATCCCCTATTAAACCCTCATTAAAGAACAGCTTTTCCACAATATTCGAAGGCCCTGGACCAGGAGAGGCTCCATTTCACTTTAGTAGGTTTGTTTGCTGGGTTCACTATTGCAGCAAGCTGTGCCAGAGCAGCCCCTGGAAGCCCAGAAGAGAAGCAAACCTTTTCCAAAGGCAATTGCCAAATTCAAATTCCAAGCCTTTCCCAAAGGAGCCAATCCCTTATTAAACCCTTATTAAAGAACAGCTTTTCCACAATTTTCCAAGGCCCTGGACCAGGAGAGGCTCCATTTCACTTTAGTAGGTTTGTTTGCTGGGCTCACTATTGCAGCAAGCTGTGCCAGAGCAGCTCCTGGAAGCCCAGAAGAGAAGCAAGCCTTTTCCAAAAGCAATTGCCAAATTCAAACTCCAAGCCTTTCCCAAAGGAGCCAATCCCTTAATAAACCCTTATTAAAGAACAGCTTTTCCACAATTTTCCAAGGCCCTGGACCAGGAGAGGCTCCATTTCACTTTAGTAGGTTTGTTTGCTGGGTTCACTACAAGTACTACAAGTACTACAAGCACTACAAGTACTACAAGTACTACAAGTACTACAAATACCACAACTTCATCGGCAAAAAAAACAATAGTAATTAGATTTCAATTGTAGCCAATTGAAATCCTTACTTAATTGAGGATATGTTTTTCTTTTGGGAAGAATGTTTTTGACTTTCTACTTTAAAGAGAGTCCAGATATAGTTTAGGGAGGGGGGGGCCACACACTAATCAGGAACCAACATTATGCATGCATGCATGTATGTATGTATGTATGTGTGTGTGTGCGTTATAGTATATATTATACATATCATATATATCATATATATCTATATAATATTTCAATGATTTCGTTCTGAGTTTGTTTGTTCTTGCTTCTTTCGTTTGTAATTGTTGGCCGGTTTTCCCCGATTTGAACAGGAACAGCCCTCACTTGCGCCCAAACAACAGGATCACTTGCGCCCAGATTGATATAAGTACTTCAGGAACATCTTACTCTACAATGTTCAGCCATTTGGGGTCTACTTTCACGGGCGTGGGGGGGGAATCGGAGGCTGGGGAGGACTTGGGAGGGTCTGGGAAGGGACTTGGGCGTCGCTGGTTTCGCTGAACAACACCATGTCTGTGATGAACGGCCTGCTTTGAACGGGCTGGGTAAAATCCTGTTCGGAAAGGAGGGAGACCACCCGGGCACAAGCAAGACCGTAACATGCCGTAACCGTCGTAACCCGATTTGAATGCCATTTGGGGTTCCCGCCTCTGCATTCTGCTCGAAGACCTTCCGCATAGCACGCCTGGAACCAAGAAATGACTTGCTGTGCCCAAGCACTGCGCATGACTTGGGGACTTGTCATGACTTGTCATGACTTAGCGACTTGACGACTTGTGATGGGCCTGGTTTGTTCTTTCTTCTTCTCGTGGCGTTTCTGGTCTGCCTCCATTTCCGACACAATCCTTGGCTCTAAAGCATATGGTGCAATAGGGATGACAAGTAAATCCGTAATCGAATGGTGGGAGATAGGTTCTACTGGGCTGCAATATATAGTAGCAGAATTAGAGAAGGTGCAAAATTAAGTGCGAAGAAACATGAAGAAACAGACCATCGTACGAGTGTACACACTGCCACCTAATTCCATGACATTCCATGACTCTCTGAAGCTGAGGGTCTTGTCGACAAGTTGAACTTCTTCATCCTTACGACGCTGCTCTTCTTGATCTTTCAGGAGCTTCTCATAGCGAAGCTGCTCATCGCGATCCTGTCAAAGGCAAAGCATGGAAGAACTACTGAAAGAACTGCTTCAAAAGTGATGAAAATCGCATGGAATCAAAAACAGGTTCGTGTGACTTAGTGTGACCTTCATGTGGCATTCTCGCACTTCCCTATTGCTTGGCTGCTTGGCCTCCTTTTCTTTCAAGACTCGCTGATGTCGCTCGTCTTCCCTCTCCTTTTCTTGCTGCTTCCACCGCTCCTTGACTTTGTGAAGATTTGTGAAAATCGACCGAGTCATACCGAGGTATAACAAGGGTCAAACATGGGGCAAACATGGTCACAGGATGTCAAAGGAATATAGGGCAGCCACCAATTCCAACAAGGTGTTCTCATAGTGTCGCTTTTCCTCTTCCAACGCCTGTGCGCAGCTCTGCGTTCTTGGATCTACTTGGATCTACTTAGGGCATTCGGACTCGCTGGAGTCAGAAGTGCGGAATGGGCCTCGTCTCTCCTTTTCAACTTGTCTTGAACTTGCGCATCAAGATCCAATTTCATCTTCCTTTGGAGGGCCTTTCAGCTCAACTTATGAGGATTCGGAATTTTCACGTCCAATTCTTCACAAAAATCAACAAGGCAACGCAAGTGTCGGTGGCGATCTCATGCAACATCAGTAACATCATGCAACTCCAACCCTCACGCCCCCGGCACGCCGCCGGCACGCCGCCGGCACGCCGCCCGCACCGGCCTGAACACCCAACCTCTGCCGAAGCGCATCCTGGCTACGAACTTTGGGCATCTTTGGGCTTTAAAAGGGAAGGGGAGAGCCGGGAGAGCCAAACAGTTCAAACAAAAGCTGCTGCAGTGCTGCTGCAGTGTGCCAGCTAAAACCTCAAGATTCATCAAGTCCATCCTATCAAAGTAGAGTCTGAGTTGCCATGTGCTTAGCTGACAATTCCCATCACAAGTATCGGAGCTCTGCAAAAAACTGGTCGCACTTCTACCACTGCATATGACTTTATCTTGGGGTAACCCCATGTTCATTATGTTTATTTGATCAACTCCTGGATGCTGCTTGAAGGCAAACAAACAGGATTGTCTCGCAGCTGTTGGTTCACCCGGTGAAGCAATCGGTTGCATTTGGTGCTTCACTACCTGCAGACTGCCTGTCCCTACCTGTCCTGCTCATGCAAGTACGATGCGTATTCATCCAACTTTGACCAGTCGTGCTTGCGTGGAGCCACCAGGCTCTTACCAACCAGAGACGTTGCACCTGGTCAAACTCTGGTCATGTCTGGTCAAAGGGCCAACAGTTGGCCAATAGTTGGCCAACATGGGCCAAGAATTTTGCGTATTTGCAGTGATCATCATCTGATCGCCATTTCTGACACCAGATCGGTGTCAAATCCACCTGATTACAATGTCTTACAATGCATCTCAGGTACTCTTGCTTCTCTGACTGAGCCCAGTATACTGCCTTAGGACAGGTAAGAATGCCTAGAATCCAATAGATCCAATAGCAATCAGATGCAATAATTGCAATAGTGATGCCCTCAGAGTGTGAAGAAAGATGAAGAAAGTCAGGGCAAAGTTGGGGCTGTCCGATGTCCCACTGACGTCTGGCGACCCCATCGGACCCCATCGGACCCCGCTGCCAAGTGACGACACACCACTGATGGCTTTGCTCACAGTCGATGCATTGTCACCGGTCTGGGCATGAAAATGCATATGAAACCAAGAAAAGAAAAGTTGTGGCAATCTGCCGATGACACTTAGAATCACTGAAACTAGTGATACGAATGTCAATGTGAGACAACAGCTCGAAACATCAAACATCAAACTTCCTGAAACTGTTCAGCCTATTTCAGCCTTCTTCAGCCTGTTCAGCCTTTTGAATTCAAACTGCTCTTTTTTTCCTGCTCAGCAACGGCAGTGATCCGGGGCGGCGCCTTGCCGTGTGCTCGGCTCTGAATGCGCCGCTCCAGGCGATCCAAATTCGTCTCTGTGATCGGCGCCTTGCGCGCGAAGCTCTCGACCTGGCCGTGACAACGTGACAACGTGACAACGTGACAACGTGACAACGTGACAACGTGACAACGTGACAACGTGACAACGTGACAACGTGACAAGGCAGTGCAAACATGGCAACACGGAAACGAAAACGGGAAAAATCGAATGGGATGAATCATGATGACGGAAAAAATCGGGATGAATGTGGAAAAAATCAACTGAATTTCTAGTGCAATTCTACACATCATTTCATATCATTTCCATATGCACAGATTGCTACTCAGAAACTTCCTGGTGCCGAGACACTTCTTTCCTGATGGTCGCAGAATTGACGGAAACCTCATCCGCTTCCTGGAACTTTGCCACGTGGAAAGAGGAGCACAAAAGCACCGCTGACCAGACGCAGCTAGAAGGAAATCAGCAATGCCATGGGGGACAAGTATATTATTCATGCAGCGCCAGGAGCAAGAACAGAGGCAGCAACAATTGTAACAATGCCCATCAGAACCTAGGTGGGACCTGGGTAGGCACCGCAAGCTACAAAAGCACAGATCGAAAGTGATCAAAGATTATCAAAACAAGAAGCGTCACAAGGAAATGTCGTGAACGACCTGACAAAATGAATCATTGAACGTCTGCACACGTCTGCCTTGTTTCCTCCATGTCCAAAACGGTGCTTGAACTTCTCTGTCAGCTGATCCTTCAAGTCCTCCAGTTACTAGCACACACTGCCAAGTTTCTTCAAGTGACTACCCGCTCTATTCCGTTCTTGTATCTGTTTTTCAGTTTCTACATCTCAATGGTCCTGTCATGTCCTGTCGATGGTCGTTTCTTGTTTGTTTCGCATCGTCGCTGCGCCATGATCCATTCGCTGCACCTCTCGTTTCTTCAAGTCCATCAACTTCGCTCTGCGCGTTTCTGACAGTTTCGCGTTCACCTCGGCGCCAAGGGCACAGGATGCAAAGGGCCACAGGAAAGATACGGAAAATGCAAAATTGCGAAGATCCCAAATGATCTAAGCGATCCAAGCGTCAACATGAGACCAAAGAGATCTACGGAGAGGAATTTCTGAACCAAGAAGTTGTCCATGAGTTTCGTGTTTTGGCCTGGTTTGGTTTCTGTTTTGCTTTAACATTTTTACATGTACTAAAGATACTAAAGTCTTTACATATCTTTACGCTGTTTCGCTGTGTCGAAACTCAAAGCTCGCCAGATCTCGCCAGATCCCGCCAGGCCACCGCAAAGTCCGGTTGATCGATCCTTTCTGCTGGCATCGCCATGAGCCTCCACCTGTGCCAACGGTCCAACAAAAAGGTGATCCATTCGTAGAGAAGTATGACCAGCATGACTTAAAGATACTTAAAGCATCTTAAAGCATGTTAACATATGTTAACTAGAACATACTAGAACAGGTATCAAAAATTCAAAACAACCATGTTTCATCCTCGCCACAGTCGCCACAGCTTGCCACGGCTTGCCACGGCTTGCCACGGCTTGCCACGGCCTCTAAGCCTGGAGGCGAAACGCGTCTCCGAGCTGAGCCAAAACGGCTGCGGCCTGGCATCCTTCCTAGCAACACACGTGGCAACACTCGCGTGGCGACACTCGCGTGGCAACACAACGTGTTAAGACGTGGCAAAGCTCTTGGTGCTCTCTGACCACGCGGCAAGGGACCAACATCTCTTGAACAACACTCTGACGCCTGAAACGTTTCAAGTTGAAATCTGATGAAGTTTTTCGCAGGATGTCATGCTGTCTATGTTGTCTTCATCTATCGAACAAGTAGAGAAACGTCATCCTGCGTGCCTCCTCTGCATCTTCTCGGGCTCCCTGTTGTAAAGCTTCCAGCTCCTTCCTGCCAGCATCTTCCAGTTGACGCCTTGGAGACGGCTCTACGGTCCCACGGCCAAGTCCTGCCTGCCGAGCATCCCAGCAGTTTGAGGTTTGGCCGTGAAAAAAAAAACGCGTTTGGCCATCGTTTGATCGTGATGGTGTACAATGGTGTGTGATGGTTTCTGGCGGTTTCCATGTGCTTGCATGTTACGAATTGTTTCTTTCTTAATCCCTGATTGTATCCAAACCAGGTGATACTTGTCACATCCTTTCCTTATAAAGCAGGTCCTCATCATGCCACGCTAAAAATGCCTACCTTATTGGCAAAGGATCTGGAATGATTGTACTCCTTCTTTCCTTCTTTCCAGAGAATGAAGGTAAGGACGGCTGACTGTCTTGGATAGAACGAAGTTGAAACCTCAAACGGTTTCTGAGTTCACCCTGCTTTTTGCACACTGAAGACCTTTCAAACAGGTTGGTTTCTCTCCAAACAAATTCAGACATGCTTCCCACACTGTTTATCTCTCTCTCTATCTCTCTCTCTCTCTCTCTCCCTCTCTCTCTCTCTCTCTCTCTCTCTCCATCGCCATGCTTCCCACTAAGGGTACCGTGTTGTGTGTGTGTGTGTGCGCGGTCTAGGTGTGTAACTTGTGAAAGCCATCTCCGATTTCAGCCCCACTGGTTTCAACACGGGTCACTTGAGGTTTTGAACATATCTTGTATGATTTTTGTACTCTACAGACCACTGCCAGGCGCCAACATCTTAGCTGTGGCTCCACACGTCTTTTCCTCAGCGCACTGAACCTTCCAGCAGGCGAAACAAATGTATCAAACTTGATGCCACATCTGAATTCGATTCCAATTGCAAAATGCTCAATACTGCTCAATAGTTTCCACGGGTTCTGCATCTTCCATAGGTTGAAGATGTTCTAAAAGTGTCTAAAACGAGGTGCCAACAATCGACTAACATTGGCGCCTCTGACTGGGACAAAATGAGGCAGGTGGTTTCGGCAGCCAAGGCAGAGCGGAGCATGTCCTGGGGCATGGCACATCTTCCTGGCAAAATGGTGAATATCAAAGAATATTAAGATAAAATCAGATGAGTAAGTTGATGTATTTGGAGCACCATCGTGTATATATATATATATCTATCTATCTATCTATCTATCTATATCTATCTATCTATCTATATCTATATATATATATTCATTCATTCATTCATTCATTTATTTATTTATTTGCTTAATTTGTTTAATTTATTTTAGAATATTACTGATTTATGTATTCCATTTATTTATTTATTTATGTGTTGTCTATTTAAACATATATACATATATATATTACATTGTTACAGTATTCAATATAATTTACAACTCTTTTGTGACACTACACCGCCACACTTTTCGCAATCTTAGTATTCGTAGACTTCAATTCCCATCGTACCTTATGCTATAGAAGCAAATGAGGAGAAACAGAGCTGGTAGCGTGCATTGAATCTACATGAATCACACAGCTTTGAGGTATGGAATGTGTTCCTTCCATCCTATCCATCCTACTTGGAGCAGCTAATTGCTACAGTGGCTGTTTGCTCCGTCCTCTGCATCTTTGGCGTCTTGCGCTGCGTATGTCAAAGCCATCTGGATTCAAAATAACGCTCACAATCGTTCACAAATCTGGAGTCCAAGAAAACTCCGGAAAGGAAAAAGGGCATCATTGCAATAAAGAAGCCCTTCACAATGTGCTGCAATCCACTGATCTTGCTGGTTTGGTGCAACTTGATGGTTCTTTGAGGCACTTGCTGCCTACAATTCGGATTTTTCAGTTCAGGACTCTGCAGACTGTCAAAATCGCATTGCCTGGTTCTCCTCGTGCAACGTCTGCCGGATCTTTGACAACTCTACCTCTGCTTGGTTGTCTTTAAGCCTGGAGCAGCGCAGGGGCAGCTCGAGCTCTCGTTGTTCGAAATGTTCGAAATGTTTAATAAGATCTGCAAGGTACATTTAAAATTCTGTTCGAAGTTGTTCTCCAAATCTTCTACAACTTCCCTTTTTGGTCCGTTGCTAGGGCAACCTGTTGCACAGCTTTCGCTGAGCCATAGGCAAGCGTTTCTCTGCTGCATCAAGCAGGGATCGTATCTTTGGCACTTCAGCCGCTTCTTGTTGAAGGCGAGCCACCTTTCTTGACGTCCAAAGACCACACAAACTCACACTTCGAGCCACGCAAACATCAGGCACCCACACAAAAAGAAGAGTGAAACACAAGGTCAAAGCAAAGCAGATCAAAACAGCAAAATCCACAATGGTGTTTCTATCTGGTTTTGGTAGCTGCCACCTGTTCTTCCAGAGCTGATATTCGTTCTTTCGACTCGTGGAGTGTCGAGGTTAGCGCTGCAGCTTCTGACATAGCCTGCAAAGATGTGACAAGCAGCGGCATACAGAATATCTACATTGCAAGGGCATGTCGGCATGTATCAATTGCAAGGGTACAGAAATTCAAGCCATCGCTGTTCGCTCAAAGAAAGAAGCCCTAGGCAACAAGCACAATCTCCTAGGCAAAACTTGGAAGAATCAAGGTGTTCAAGAATGCTGAACTGGAAATGCGCAACCAATATTGAGAGAGTCCAGTTGACAATGGGTGACTTGATCAAAAGTCTGGCCCAAGTTGAAGCACCAGATTCTTCGAATGGATTCCATCTGGATTCCATCTGGATGGTGGTGCACAAAACGCAGAAAACTAATCAAAACTGTGGGACTGTGGCAGGGTCGCGGTAGTCGTGGTATGTCGTGCCGTTCGTCGCCTGATCTTTGATGGCAGTCGTCGCAGCATCGCCGACCTGTCCAAGGTGCGAAATGAGCCCTGGTCACGGCTACACATGAGGACTAGCCGCTACAAGCCGCTACTACAGATACTACAGATCTGAATTTTGGACTCGAAACTCGTTCGAAACTCGGAATTTTGTGTGTTCTTTCGGAGACGTTTTTGGTGTTGCTGAAGTGGTTCTCTGGTGAGAAGCATGATATAGCATGATTGATTGTATGAGGCAAAAGTCTCTTATTAGGATCCTCTGAAGCGGTTTGTTTCTTCAAAAGCGTCCCATGTTTCATGTTATTTGAAGATGTAATCCACATTTTCCCAAAGTGCAAGAAGGCTATGAAGAGTTTGCCATTGTGCCAGTGTTAATGAGCTGTTGCATAAAAGTGATGTGAAAAACGCATATATATATATATGCATATATATATATATACATATCTGTCTGTAATATTTCTTGTGTCTTCTGTTCCTTCATGCTGTGGTGAAGTTCCATCTCTCAAAAATGTTACATAATTGTGCCTGCATTGTCAAGTTGAAACTATACTTCTTCCGATTATTCCATAAACTGGTGTTCCCCAAACGAAACGTGAGCTTTGCTGAGCAAAGCATTAGATGCTTCAATACTTTGGGTATGCAAGGCTGTTTTGTCAGCACAATGCGAACTCAAAACCATGGTTGCCACAGATGCTAAAGTGATCCAAAGTGAGCACACAGTAATGCCGCCATGCTGATTTCGGCACCACTTCAGACGTCATACGTGGCAGTTTCTTGGCCTGCTTTGATCCAAAGATCCCCGCCTGGAGTAGAAGGGATTTTGGATCTTGTGCAATGTTGTGCAATTACGCCGTTACGTGTTGCAGGTCCCAAGCCTGGGTTTGAAGTGTTTGCAGCTCTTTAGTCGCATCCATCAACTCCTGGGAAAACACAAAGGGGCGAAAAATGAAATCAGAGAATTCCGAGGAAACTTAGATTTCGATCAAGAATTGTTGGAATATTGTTGGATATTTGGGTCCATTCTCTGCTAGTGCTTCTCCCAGCAGCATCCTGCGACAGGGTTTCGGCGCGCTTATTGGCAAGTTCTTCCTGGCAGATCATGAACAAAGAGATCTTGTTTAGCAATTAAAGGAAAATTTTGACATGAAAAAAATGAAAAGAACATGACAACCGCACGACCGCAGGACACCGTTCCTTTCTCTTTAAAAAATCTGGCACAGAGTTCCCCTGCTTCACAAAATGCAACAGGCGTGTCGTGGTTCAATGTTTGCCAAGTCGGCTTCACCACCTTTATTGTTTGATCACACATCCTTTTTGTTTTCTAAGCACGCCTTTGGTCTTTGGGATTTTTCCCACATATATCTACACAAATATATATATATATACATTATGTGTGTATGTACGTATGCATGTACAGGCACAAATTATATATGGATACGTGCGTGCAGACATATATACATAATACATATGAATTTAGAAAAAAATATACAACCGATAATAAAATACGATTTTAAAAAAAACATGTATAATATATGAGAAAAAGAACAGATTAGAATCGAACCGCATCGAACCGAACCGAATAGAATAAAAGAATACCACATAACAGATTGTCATTTAACACGCTGCAAAAAAAAAATAACATCAAATAATACAAGAAATAAAATGCAATACTCATATCATATCAAAAAATGTAATTTAATGTAATGTACTAAGATATAAAATACTGCAATATCAAATCACATCATATAATATAATATGCCAAAACTCAAAAAATAATACGGCGTGATATCGAAAAATCATATGTAATACAACGCAACGCAATACAATGAAATATGATACAACAAAACATGATATGATAACTTTACTACAATAAAATATAGAACGCTAAAATGCGATATGATTCAAAA